CTATCTAATTTAAACACTTATCTAGAATATATAGTTTGGCTTCTCATTTTCTTTTTTCCAGTAATAAAACACTTTGGTCAAACAATAACCGTGCTTTATCTTTCCTTCAGGAGACACAGTCAACTTATTATATCCTATATTAGCCATATCTTATACTATGGTTACCAACTGAGGGTTTGAAGTTCCCCCTGAAATTGTGAACTGCATGCAGAACGCTGCATATAAACAAGTCTAGGCATTTTTATGGTAAGATAATCAAGAATAATCAGATTGTCAAAACAGACTTAGAATCACCGTCTTATATAAACATTTCACTATGGCTCTCCTACAGTGTATATTATAAATACAGGTCATAAATTATAGGTTGACAGGTTTCATATTCTCTTAAGGATAAGTAGGTTTACTTTCATAGGACCATATCTGGAAAAAAACCTCAAAAGCTAACAAGTTCATTCTGTTGCCTTTAGGCCAAATGCTTCCAAAATTATCCAAGTCAGATGAAAACTGAAAGTATGTTTATTTTTCCCTATGGGAAAGCAATTCCAGCACCTCATTCTGTAACCTATTACATTTTTTAACAACCACTGTAAAATTTATCTTTGGTCTGTATGTGCTCTAGTTTAGGTCCTCAATAGCCTTATTACTATTTTTCTTCACTTTATACACAGCTATAAATGTGTGTTAATCTTGCCCAGAGAAGACATATGGCAGTGTTCTTGTCACAGGCCATTTTTAAACCTAATGGTTCCAATGATAAATGTGTATATATTGTACACAATGCAGCCCACACTCATTAGGCATACGTCTAGTCAATACACTAGAACCTAACTATGATCAAGTTACAAGTGACAGGAGTTCAGTGTCACAAAGAGCTGGGAAAAACCTCTCAGAGGACAATTTTATTCCTTGGGTAATCACCTGCCCTGAACACTGGGTGGCATCACCATCGGGCTGCAGGGCTCTAAGCAGGACAGCGAAAGCTGCAGCTCCAGTAGAACTCCAGGAGAAAGGCGGGAAGACCTCAAAGCAGTGGGTAGTATTCAAGGAAACTGGACCCTCTGCTTTTATATATGTAAATATTTAAGGTAAGAAACCAGAGGACGATCTGGAAAAAAAACAGGGAACAAGAGGGGGCCTTTGGGAGGAACTTCCAAACACAAGGGAGGATGTCTATAAAGAAGGTTCCAAGAATCATCTTATAAAGAATCCTAAACTGAGCAGAGGGGTAGCATCAGAGGTTTGCTGGGTGAGAGAGACAAAAGGAGCACTTTATGAGGGCGGAAGAGACTCTTCCAACAAATCACAGCAAGCAGAGGATAAGGTTAAAAATCAGATATAATGTGATCAAAGGGGAAATTTTCGAGAAATGACACTTGATCATTTCTCCCAGGTATCATCTCATTTAATCCTCAGGCTCAGAGACAAAGAGTGCCCCATCCAAGATCACACAGCTGGGCAGCAGCAGAGCCAGACATTCACTCTTGGATTTCTGACTCAAAATCCACAGCTCCTGGTAACCTCTGGCCAGAATCGTACAATATTCCAATTCAAGTAATTAGGGGATAGTACCACGTACAAAAAAAGTGCTATATGAATATCAGGAACTATACAGACCAATAAATTGTCATATTCCTAATACAAGGTTGAATCAAATGAAACTGCTACTTTTGTAGGCCCCAAATGGTCGGATATTGGCAATTTTATGTGATTCAATGTAATATCAAGGAATTAAAAATAAAAAGGGAAGGTGTCAGCCTCAATATAGAGCCCAAGGTGGTACCCTCTTGTGTTTAAATTTTATAAAAAGCAGAAGAAGAATAGTGAGAGAATACATAAAGCATGCTAATAAATATTTAAATGCAAAATCCTCAAATACCAACAAAAACCTTCACATTTTATGTTCTATACTCACCTTCCTCCCTGATTACTGGAATTCCGAAAGTCAGCCTTCTGGGGAACCTTCTGATTTTGAACTTGGTAGATACATACTGCCCTATTTAACAGACCTCTGTGGCCTACAGAGAGCCACCTATCTGTTCCAAGTTCCGGGTTCTCTGCTCTTCATCTACTTCAGAACCTCCAGAAAGCTCCCCAGGCAGCACCTAGGCCACTCCAGGGTAGATAATTAAGTCTGCATTTCAAGTTTCAACTACTGCTCCATCCAGGGATTCTTCATTATGGCCTACAGTATTTGGGTTGTTAGATTATCTGGAATAGACACCTGTTCAACAAACAATTCTGAAAGAGGCCGATTCCTCCAGGAGAGGAGATGGGAGTATCTACTCTCTTTCTACTGAGAGTTAAATCCAATCACTCAAACCCAGCAATTAAACAATGTCATCAGGGCAGCTGTTACAAGGAATATAAGCAAACCCAGGTTCATCAGAGCCATTCTGTGTTAGTGTTCCTCGTATTTTGAAGACATAATCATTTCTATTTCCTAATTAACTCTGCTAATTAGATATAACTACATAAAATAGAAGTGTAAAATATTTTGTGCTTCCTAAACAAAAATGCTTTGTGAAGTCTACAAGCATTTTTGTCCATTTATGTGTTTGTCACAAATGGACAAAAAGGCTATCATCCTTGGGATAAAAAGGCAAAAAGTAGCCTCCATTCAGAACATCTTAAACTATGAAAAATGCATCTGGAAATGACTCCACGTTTGAGCTAGGAATATCTTCCATTCATGAAGACCTCCAAAACCTAAAAACTGCCAAAACAGAATGGCTTTTGAATCAAAACATTGTATTTCAGTGAGACTATTCCCGAATATGGAATAAAGTTAAGAGTTTAACGTGTTTGCAGTTAATCCAGAGGCCAAGGAAAATGGTGGTAGGGAAAATGTAGACATTGAGTTCAGACACCAAGCTCTCTTGTATTTTTATCCTTTCTAACCTTTGGGGTACTTATTGGGAAGGTAAAGATGGGCCTATGTCATAAGGAAAGAAGGGCTAAATAAGATCAAAGGTAAAGCACTAATATAATCTAGCTCATTGTCAACACTGGTTAACAGTGGTGAAATTGTGTATTTTTAAAATTTTTTAAAATTTAATTTAATTTAATTTAATTTTTTTTTGAGACAGGGTCTCACTGTTTCACTCTTTTGCCCAGGCTACAGTGCAGTGGTGTCATCATTGCTGGCTGTGGCCTCACACTCCTGGGCTCAAGCAATCCTCAAGCCTCAGCCTCCCAAGTAGCTAGAACTACAGGTGTGCACCACCACACCTGGCCAAATTTTAAACATTTTTATAGAGACGGAGTCCTGCTATGTTGCCTAGGCTAGTCTCAAATACCAGGACCCAGTTGATTCTCCCATCTCGACCTCCCAAAGTGCCAAGATTACAGGCATAAGCCATCACACCTGGCCTGTATCAATTTTTATATAGCTATATTTGTTGAGCATATACTATATGCCAGGTACTGTTCATTTAATCCTCAAAACAATTTCATGATCTCATTAGCATTACTAACTTCATTTTATAGATGAAGAAACTGTGGCATCAATAAATTAAGTAACAAATATTGTTACCTAATATTTGTCCAAAGTCACACAGCTGGTAAGTGGCAGAGCTAAGCTGAGCCCATGCCCATGAACTCTGCATGCAATACTGTCTTGCATTATTACTGTTATTGTTCACTCCACTTTATTTCTCATATTTCATCTTCCATGTAGTTTCTAACTTACAATTCCATGGAACATGGATATCATAGAAAAATTCCATTTAAGAAAGGGCAACTAGATGTTCTTAACTAGAAAGATGATAAAATTAGGCTGGGCGTGGTGGCTCACACCTGTAATCCCAGCACTTTGGGAGACCAAGGCGGGCAGATCACTTGAAATCAGGAATTTGAGACCGGCCTGGACAACATGGTGAAACCCCGTCTCTACTAAAAATACAAAAATTAGCCAGGCATGGTGGTGGGTGCCTGTAATCCCAGCTGCTTGGGAGACTGAGGCAGGAGAATTGCTTGAACCTGGTAGGTGGAGGTTGCAGTGAGCTGAGATCATGCCACCTCACTCCAGCCTGGGCAAGAGAGCGAGACTTTGTCTCAAAAAAAAAAAAAAATGAAAAAAAATTTTTAAAGATGATAGAATTGGCAAAAATATAAAGTTAAAATTAATTAGGAACAATAATTTGATTTTAAAAGACTGGGAAGTTTTGTAGGCAGTGAAATTATATGTTTAAAACAGTTCTTTAAATTTTTTATTTTTTGAGATGGAGTCTTGCTTTTTCACCCAGGCTGGAGTGAAGTGGCATCATTTTGGCTCACTGCAACCTCTGCCTCCCAGTTTCAAGTGATTCTCCTGTCTCGGTCTCCCGAGTAGCTGGAATTACAGGTGTGCACCACCACGCCGGACTAATTTTTTTTTATTTTTAGTAGAGACGGGGTTTCACCATATTGGCCAGGCTGGACCGACTCAAATGATTCACTCACCTCGGTTTCCCAAAGTGCTAGGCTAAAACTGTTTAATACGTCCAAACTCTGAATTTCTGTTGAGCTCTTTTTGTATATTCAATGGTCTTGTATAGTCTTACCTGTTTTTATTTAATTTTGCTTATTTCATTCCATTTCTATTGAGATTGAGGGGGTGTGCCCTAGGTCTGTGTCTGTGCTTTTGCATTTCTGGGGGAGTCCTGCATGCCAAGTCAAACTCTAAAATATCTTTTTGAAAAGAAATTGATTCCCATAGCAATTTCTTCTTTCTTCTTAGAATTCATTTGTTGAATTTTTTACCTCACATTCATTAAGAAAGTAATTAGATTTGAGATTTTTGAGATTTTGCCTTACCTAAACATCTATTTAAATAAATAAGCCACCTGGTTTTAAAATAAAGTAGAGATTTAGTTTTCCAGGCCAAATAATCTTCTGAAAGTTCTTTTGGCTCTAGTTTTGAAGGGAATGAAAATAACACAGAAACTCAAGGGATCATGAAATTCAAATACAATTACTTCAACTTCAGTAATGCTCCAAAAGACATACGGGTGAGCTCTTACCAGCGGAACGAGCAGGCTCATCAGGTCTGTCAAAGGTTTGCCGAGCAGCAGCAGGTCTTCTGCAGCCTGAGTGTCCTCTCCTGAGCCAGACTTCTGGGCCTGGAACAGGGAGAAGAGAAATGAAAGACAGTCTCGGTGATTAGTCAGCTTGGCTAAAGGAAACAGGACCACTCTGTCTGGCAGACACAAGGGGCTGGGGAAGCATTCTACCTCGGTTCCCAAGGATGGAATAGATGGAGGCCCCAGAAGAGATACTATGCTTTGTTATGACACAAGGAGTGTAGCTATTGCCACTGCCACCAGCTCAGGCTACAGAGGCTGACCTCTGTACAGCACATAGATAAAGCAATTACAATGGTTGCTGCTGCTCAAGGAATAATGGTGATGTCCCATACATTGCAGTGGGGAAGGACTTAATCTTTTTTTTTTTTTTTTTTTTTAGATGGAATCTCGCTCTGTCACCCAGGCTGCAGTGCAGTGGCACGGTCTCAGCTCACTGCAACCCCTGCCTCCTGGGTTCAAGCGATTCTCCTGACTCAGCCTCCCAAGTAGCTAAGATTACAGGCTCTTTCTACCATGCCTCGCTAGTTTTTGTATTTTTAGTAGAGACGGGGTTTTGTCATGTTGGCCAGGCTGGTCTCTAACTCCTGACTTTACATGATCCACCCATCACAGCCTCCCAAAATGCTGGCATTACAGATGTGAACTACCGCGCGCAGCCAAAAGTGCTTTATCTTAACCATCCTGAGACCAGGTGCTGAAGAAAACTGAACTTTAGAGAAGCTGGGTCGTTTGTCTAACATCTCACAGACAATGGATGACAAAGCCAGAGGACCAAACCCAGGCTGACTCCAAGTCACAAATGCTAATCTCCTCTGAGCATATTTATGCACATTATGATACATACCAAGTGCATTCTGCTGTGCTTTCCTTCTCTATATTGCATACATATGCTCAAATAACATCTGGAATATTTGTCCAACATATCACTGCATGAATAGGCTTCAAATACAGGTCTACATTCCTGTGAATGTGTAGACTTAAATGGCAATGAAAATAAACGAGTGAGTGGTTTTTACATTGTGTGTCTTCTCCCAGGGGTTTTATAGAATTGTCTAGTTCCAAAGGAGACTTCTATCACAGAGATGAATAATTTTATATTGAAAAATGGTACGGATTATTTTTTGCATTTGCTATAATACGTATACACTCTTCCTCTCTGTTTTCACCTTTACTCAGAAGAAACAAAACCACTTTTCAATAATGACCTTTGCCAGAGCCTACAGAGCAGGCCAGAGGCTGCACTGCCTTGAGTCATTAACCTGGACTCCAGGGCCCTTCTCATAAATGCCTCGTTTCCTTCTGCACTTCTGGCCTATGGACGGAATTTCAGTTGCCTGTTTTCTTTGGTTCAGAAGAACTTGACTGAAAATCGGACACCTGTCTTTTAACAACCTGCACATCTCAACAGGTGAGGAGAACAAGGGTCATCATTAGCTTGGAGCTTGCCTCTCACTTCCCTGACTGACTTTATCAGAAGCGGAGAATTTCCTTTCAGGAAACAAATGTGCAGCACTATCCAAGAGGCCCGAACCTTTCCGAATCTTGGCCGTTGATCCCTTGCCCTCTGAAACATTATCTGACATGGAATATTACCACATTACCCCTTAGAGCAGATTGATTTCCTCCTGGGAGAGATAAGGCAGTCTTGCAAATCAGCAATGAGGCAGCAGTGAGGGGTCTGGTGCCTCCTTTCCAAACACATACAAGCAAGCAAATGGGGCCACAGCACAAGAAACACTGTGGGACTTTTTCCACCAGGACGTCCCAGTCCTCCAGATCCTCCAAGATCTACATAGTCATACGTCATAGTCGCCAAGAAACATCGATCCAGCCTACCGGTATTCATGTGGCCACCTCCTTGCAAAGTTGCCAAGAGTTCCAGAAGAAAGAGAATGCTACAGCTTTGCACAACAGAGAGGTGGCACAAAAGAAAGACATTAGAAATTCCACTCTCCCCACAAGAGTACTGGCCCACAAAGGAAGCTCTGTGCAACAAAAGGACATCTGCCTGGATGCAGCCATAAACACTGAAGCCCCCACAATCAAATGCAAAGGCCTAGGCCCGTCTTGTCTCTCAGCCTCTCTCCAATTCCACAACATCACACTCCCTCATGTCGGCCTCCCAACTCCTGGATTTCCCACCCTTTGTGTGCATCCTGTACAGGGCCGGTGTCCTTGTCACCACATCGTGACTGTCTGTTCCATCCAGGTCCTCTGATTTTGCCTCTGGTCCCACTGACCCCTTTCCAGAACTCACTCCCTTTTGTCATTGCTGTGTGTGAACTTACCCCACTCCTAGCAATCCCCTAGCTGTTATAGCCCAGGCAAGAGAGGAAGCTAGCCTGGGCGAGGGTGGTAGCAACAGGGTTTGAGAGAGGCAATCGGATGGGTTGGATATGTATGGTAAAATCTACATGATTTGGTGACAGATTAGATGTGGGATATAAAAAAGAGGGAAATTTCAAGAATGCCTCCCAGGTTTCTGGTTTGCATGGCAGGGTGAGTGGGGCAGGGCTTGCTGGCAGGGAAATGGATTTGGGGGGTAGATCTTGAGTTTGGCTTTGGTCTATGGGGAATTCTAGTGGTCATATTGAGCAAGCTGCTAGGTATATGAATATTGACTTCAAAGAAGAACTTTAGGTAGAAGTATACATTTAGTAGCCTTAAACATATCAAACTGAAGAAGTGGACATTCCTTTGAAACTTGTCATCCTTTTAGTTAAACTGTGAGATCCTAGAGGGTGGGGACTGAATCATATTCACCTTTGCATCGCGAATGTGCGACATGACGGTGTTTGGGGAGCACAGTGAGTGTCAAATTGATCCGAGCCACACCACTGACAGTTATGCTCCACTGTGTGCTAAAACCTGCTAGAGATATAAGACAGGAACTCGGCTGGGTGTGGTGGCTCATGCTTGCAATTCCAGCACTTTGGGAGGCCAAGGCGGGTGGCCTGTCAATTTCTGAGTCATATTTAACATTAAATAGCAATACAGCATTACCTAAAATGAGATAACAGAAGACAGCTTCCCAGCATCAAAAAAAAAAAAAAGGCCATGTATAATACAATTCTCTTACATCTAGCATTGCTACACGGATCTAGCACACAGAAGCAGATAATCAATAGAGGTCTGCTAAATATACACAGAGGTAAGGCATCTATAAAGAACAAGAGACAGTTAATTCCTCAAGTAGTTCCTGTCTTATTTTATTTATTTTTTTGAGATGGAGTCCTGCTCTGTCGTCCAGGCTGGAGTACAGTGGCACGATCTCGGCTTACTGCAAACCTCTGCCCCCTGGGTTCAAGCAATTCTCGTGCCTCAGTCTCCCACATAGCTGGGATTACGGGTCCCCACCAGCACACCGGGCTAATGTTTGCATTTTTAGTAGAGATGGGGTTTCACCATATTGGCCAGGCTGTTCTCAAACTTCGGACCTCATGATCTGCCTGCCTCAGACTCCCACAGTGCTGGGATTACAGGTGTCAGCCATCACGCCCAGCCTTTATTTTTATTTTTTGAGATGGAGTCTCGCTCTGTCACCCAGGCTGGAGTGCAGTGGCATGATCTCAGTTCACTGAAATCTCCGCCTCCCAGGTTCATCAAGTGATTCTCCTGCTTCAGTCTCCCGAGTAGCTAGGACTACAGGTGTATGCCACCATGCTTGGCTAATTTATTTTTTTATTTTTTTATTTTTAGTAGAGACGAGGTTTCACCATGTTGGCTGGGCTAGTCTTGAACTCCTGACCTCATGTGATCTGCCCACCTGGGCCTCTCCCAAAGGGCTGGAATTATAAGCATGAGTCACCATGCCCAACCCAGTTCCTGTCTTTATATCTCCAGCAGGTTTTAGCACACAGTGGAGCATAACTATCAATGGTGTGGCTCCGATCAATTCAATTCAACACTTACTGTGCTCCCGAAATACCATCACATTGCACGTCCGCAATGCAAAGATGAATATGATTCAGTCCCTATTCTCTAGGATCTCATGGTTTAACTACAAAGATGACAAGTTCCAAATAACTGTGCTAAGGCAGAATATGAAAACTGCTATAATAGAGGTAGAAATAAAGTTTGGGTGAAGGAGGGAAGTAGGATAATGTCACAACTGACTTCATCACTTGGATGGTGGGGACGGGGTCTACTAGGAGTCATATGGAGTGTAGATATTTCACATGTGGAAATTTCATGAGGAAAGGCACAGGAGTGACAAAGCACAGCATCCATTTACAAGATGGCAGTGCAACTAACTGTCTGGTTGGGGTATGGGCAGCATGGAGGTCAGGCAGATGGGCTGGGAAGGTACCCTGGGGCTCGATTGTATAAGCCTTTGAATGTCTTGGCAAGGAGTTGGAAAGTTATAGATAATGAGGTGTCACTGAAGTTTTCAAAGGAAGGGAGAAACTATCAGGACTATGAGCTATGACAGAAAAATCTCACCCGCATTCAACAACCAGGCAGAGGGTAGCTCATGGTGAAGGCCAACAAGGGGAAGGCCATGAAGGAATCAGATTGGATAATTATAAGAGATGCTAAAAATAGCCCCCAAAATAGCCCCCAATCACGGATAGTCTTTATGTGTATGTGAGACTAAGAAAGACTCAGTAGCCACGTTACGGTCTTTCAACAATACTGATGTATCTGCAAATCAACAGCAGTTTAATGGTCCTACTATCAGGAGGATGATGTAAAAAGCTTCCCCATACCACCTCAGAAAGGATCAACAAGGCCCAGAATGGAAAGTCAGGTGACCTGAATTAGAATAATAAATATTTGTCTTCCCTAGAAAAGCCCTCCCTAATCTCAAAATTGGGCTTGGTCCCCTGCCTCATTATTCATTCTGCAGCATGTAATACCTTTCAATGGCTGCATTTTCACACTTGCAATAAGATGAAGACTTGCTTCATTATTTGTATGTTGACAGTCTTCTCTATTAACCTGTAAGCTTCCTGAGAGCTAACACCCTTTCTCCCTAGATTCCTGCTGAAATTACAGGTGCCTAGCCCTATGCTAGGCTCATAAGTACAAAATAACTCATAAGCCTGCTAGGAGTTAGTCAGTAAATATGAACTGAGTGCTCTTCCATGCACCAGGACGTAGAAATGAGAAAGTCATGGCCCACAGGAGGCCCCCTGTAAACAAGAAAGGAAGAACCTTTCTTCTTGTTGCTGTTCATGATACAGTAACCACTTATTGGTCACCTTCACTGGGCCAGGTATATGCATGCCACTTTACATCTATATATAATTACATAAATTTTATTCTCCCATTGAAGTCTCACAACCACCCAGCAGAGTGGTGATCACACCTACCTTCCAGATGAGGAACCTGATACTCAGGTGCAGTAACTTGCCCGAGGTCATACAGGTGGTGGTATGTCTGGGATTTGAATCTAAGGCATTCCAACCTGCATGACCCACATGTCCCCACCACACCAGTGAGTCTCAGGCACTTTGTCTCTGTCTCCATAATCTTTCACACATAACATTCAGAGGTGAACAGGGACCAGTTCTAAATCACGGGGAAGGTAGTGGGTAGGGACTGAACTTCTGATGGAGATTCTGACACATGCCTGCCTTTGCTCCCCCATACACATACTTGCATCATACCACTCTCCTCCCTGGAAAAATGCTTTTGTGAATCTAAGCATCATTATAATTTTAAACACTGGCCTCTCTCAATTCTTCTACTTTAAAGAAGCTCCTATTAGAAGTAGACATAGGTTTCAAGTGCAGAAGAATCTCCAGTGTGAGAAGTATGTCTATAAATGGAAGGGGTGACTTAGGGTTTTGGAAAGTACTTATGGCTCAGTGTTTCAAGGCAGATATGTCTTTGATTCACATTCCATTTCTTTTCTCAACTCTTTCACCTAATTCAGCCTCAAGGACGACTCCTCCTTCATATTGACACCAGGTGTCATGGAGATCAAAGTCAGTGGTCAAGGCCAAAAGCAATACATGGCAGATATTATGAGGGATGATTTAGAAAGATGATAGCAGTAAAATGTACAGTGGTGTTGAAGACTATGAAAACAATAAAAAGCAGTGATCTACTGGGAAACTAGCAAGTTGGAAATAGAAAATTCAAAAATATTTTGTATTAAGGAGTTTCCTTTTAAAACATCCCTGCATATCTACCTAATCGCTTATAGTAAACAACAGAATTTCTATTGTTCTGAAGATTTTTAACTTCTGATCTTTTTTTTCGTCTATAATTTACAAGAAAATCTTTTATAGATTATCATCAAAATATCCTGTAAGAGTAACTATCAACTACATCTCAAAGAATTACAAAAAACCACCACTATGGAAACTGAAATAAGAAACCATATTCTCTGAAGAGAAACTTACTAGAACAGAGAGGAAAAGATAGGAGAAATACACAATTAGGGATTATTTAAGTATGTAACAATTATTTACTGTTAATTTGGAATTCTTATAAATGAGCTAATAAAAGCAGCTAGGTAATTCAAAGGCCATGGCTTTTTAATTAATCTACTGGCTTTACAGTTTGGGTTAAATACTTAGTAACTAATAATATTTGTTGAGGGGATCTTGGATTTATTAAATCACATTAGACAAGCTAAATACTTGACCAGCTTAACTGTGGATAAAAGATACCATTTATCATAATGATGAATAACAGAGGCTATCCTGGGGTCTAGGGATTCATCCTTGGCTCTGCTACTGTGACTTTGGCAAGGTATCAAAACAGTTTGGTTTCAACTTTAGCTTCTGCGTCTATCCAAGCTTGTATGCTACCATTTGATATACATCTTTTGCAATTGTATCAGGATTTTAAATGTAACAATAAATTCACATTGGCCCTGTCACTTGATCTAAATATCAGCTGACTCCATTGGTTAGAGCATTAAATAAAACAGAAATAGGAAAGTACTCTATAAAACCACATCTCCTTCCTGCCTTACAGTATGGTGCTAAGTAAATACAGGTTACAGTTTATGGCTAATTGGCTTTTTCCATAGCCACTGAATACACCTCTATTCCTCAAAACCATCTCACAAGTCCATGGTATCAGTCAGAAGGGAAAGCAAGTTGAGCTTATGAGTTACATATGTATATATATGTGTCTACAAACACACATATGCATGTGTATGTACACAAACCCTCAATCCATTATTCCTAGAAAGTTGACCTATCCTGCTAAGGGGGAACTGGAGAGCCACCTCAGTACATGAAAGGCTGCAAACTACTTGGCCAAAATAGGATTGTGCCTAAGGCTAAATGCTCTCCTTGGTCAGGAGTGGTTTCCCAGCTAATGCTTGCTAAGTCTTTGCTTAGTAGTAGGCCTCTCCTTCTTTCCCTGAAGATTTTGATCAAATTCTCTGTTCTTGACATTGGTCACCCAAAGATGACTCTTCGGAAGACACTCTCTATAGAATGACACGTTCTTTTAAATAAGTAAAGACACAATAGAGGAAGATAAGAAAGAAGAGAATGAAAGGGAAGCATGAAATGGAGTAGGGCTGCTCAAGACACAGGAAAACAGATCCTCTACCTGCAAAGCCAGCCGTACGATACCGGAGGTATAGGTCAGCATACTGTGCAAAATATCAAGCAGGGAAAAGAGCAGTGCAGCTGCCATTTCATTGTTGTTTTTACTATCCACATCCAAGCACAGTGTGGCAGTTTCAGTGAGCAGGTTACAGATGTGACTGACAAGTCCTGAGGGCAAAAAAGGAAAAGAAAAAAACCTCATCATTAAGTACACAAATGTGTCATATGAACCAAAAAGAGAGGCATTCTGGCTCGATGTTGCATAAACCCTACGCAATACTTAAACTGTACTCTTATCAGATTCACTAAGGAAAGTTGTTTAAAATGCAGGTTTCCAGGCCTCACTCCCAGAGAGTCTGCTAAGGAGTCAGGGATGGGGCTTAGGAAAATACTTGTTAAAGAAGTTCCCCAAGTGATTTTGATGCAAAGGTTCCAATCCACAGCTTGAGAAACACCATCCTACACAGGCAGGCTTCACAGGGTCTGAGGACTCCCTGACACTGAAGGAAAGCAACTGTCCCCAGATTCTTGTTTGAAGGCAGTTTTCTTTAGTGCATGATCAAGGGCCACAGTGGACCCAGTGGTCTGGTCTGTCTAGCAACTGGGTGGTTTCAATAATGCAGTCCAAAAATGTAAGATTAATTATAAGAAATTTGAAATTTAGAAATTACCAGGCGCCATCCCTTTGTCTCTGCAAACCTCATATTAACAGTGTGGTTGCTCTTTACTGATGTTTAGTTTGATACAGTCTGTTACAATAAATACATTTTCACATTTTGGGGTGTTATTGTTTACATTTAAATTGACAGTTTTATTCTATTATATAGTGTTACCCTTTGAATTCACAAAAATGAAATACAACAAAAGTGAAAATACAACATGAAATAATGTTATAAACCTAAATGATGAATGAGAAATTTGGGACTAGTAGAGCATAAATTCAGATGTTCTTAAAAAAAAAAAAGTGAACATTCTAAGATAAATATTTTACACACACAGATGGGGGAAAAGCATGGCAAGGAAGTTTGATGTGTATTAAAAGCTATATTTTATTGGACCTGCAATCTACTTGTCCCTAATCCAGATGATCAACTGAATGGAAACTCAACTAAGCATAGCCATATAAGTTTTGGCATCTCTTCCATACAGTGCACCTTGTCACTTCCAGCAAAACAATACAGTCTTCCTGACAAATGCAAAATTATCACAAAATTATCAGATTACAAAAGTGAACTGATTTTGTCACTAAAGGCAGTGACATAGAATGATAGACGCATCATTCAAAGTTATACTTCCTGTGGCAAAAAAAAAAAAAAAAAAGGTATAAGTCTCACACAACTGCTAAGACGCTTATAAAAACAAAAACAAAACTGAGTTTCAAGGCTGAAAATAAACACACTTGAAAGTAGAATGAATTACTGTCAGAATTTCCTTATCAAATGACAAGGTCTGATAACCCATATCATCAATGATACATACTGCAGAAAAGCAATTATTACAGCATGTGCACTGCACCAGCAGACATTCCCCTTAGAGTTACAATGCATCATCCATGTACAGGCCATGAATCAGCACTTGGCATCTGTGAGCTGTAGACAGACTAGCAGGGCTTGAAAACACAGTATTTGGTAAATATACACTGCAAGAGAACAGGTTTTTTCATTTGGGAGTTCCTGATGACTTTGTGACATGTTACATAGACGGTCAAAGGTAAAAGGGGTGAGTACTGGTGGAGTCCAGCTCTGTGAGCCACAAAGAAGGATACGGTTCTTTAGGAGGCAGAGGTGGGCCCCAGAGCACCCATCTACATACTGCTTACTTCAGAGTAAACAGCAAGTGGGCATCAATGTTCTTCTTGATCTTCATTCAGTCTTCAAGGAAGGAGTGCAAAGAATGAATGCAATCAAATGCCTGCTGGGACAGAAAGTATTTCCAGTCTACTGTGTAAAAAAGAGGCAACAAATGCCAAGCTCTGATTTTACACACTGAAGTCATCAGCTCCCAAGGGAAGGTTCTCAGATAAGATTAGAAATGAAGTATGAGATAAAAATATTTCTTCACAACAGTGATAACGCCAGCAAAACCCATTAATATGATTTTAAGAAGCTGATCTCAGGCATATTTTCAGTGTTCTTCATAGCCAGAACTTTCACTTCAGGGTCAAAATGCATGTTTTTCATGTTTAAATTTTTTATTATGAAAACAAAGTCATGAGACAGTTCAGCAAAATGAACCTTCATCACCCTTTTCAACAATATCAATATTGTGTCTATTTTATCTGTCTTTTCAAAAGCATTTTAAAGCAAATACCAGAAAAAATCTTATTTCTCCTGTAAATACTTCTGTATACTATAACAGATAAAGACTTGTTTTTAACTATAATACCATTGCCACTTATAAAAGTAATGTATTTTTAATATACTCCTCAACTGTCTCTAAACTATCTTTTACAATTAGTTTCTATGAATCAGGATGCAAAGCAGCTCCACAAATTCCATTTGGTCATGGACCTTAAGTCTCCTTTAATTTCTAAAAGTCCTTCCTCTACTTACAATTTTTTATGCCACTTATTTGTCAGATAAATTAGAACAGTTTTCTTGTAGATTTTCTCATGGAATTGTTCCTATATCCCTACATGTCCTGTAAATTGGTAATTGCACCTAGAGACTTGATTTAATTCAGGTTCAATTCCTATGGCAATAATACCTGGGGCTGGGTTCTTTGGATTTCCTGTTGCATCTTATTCGGAAAGATACACCATTTGTCTTAGTGATGCTAAAACTGATCCATGGATTCAAGGGTTCTTATTTTGAAAAGGAAAGGCAAGATAAATGTTTATTCTTTCCTGTCATTTGCCACTTTCAGAACAATGATTTTGGAGTGTTAGCAACTACAAAAGATAAACAAGGTGTGAAGTGGGAAAGGTAGAGGAAGACAGAAACTACAAAAAGTTACTAATGCATTCATTTTGCAGCATTATTGTGAATATACTGAATTTTCAAATAATATATATTATGGGTTTTAATTGATTTCAGTCACTATTCATTTGTATGCTCAATATGTTCTACCTTTGGCTATGAAAAGCTCTTTGAAAGTATCCTTGCTTCTGCTATAATAATGTGCCCTGAGTTCATATTATAGAATTCCTGCCTCTGACTGCGCATTAGATGCTTCTACAAGGAGCCCTGGTTTCGTTCAATGATAATTTGTACTTAGAGACCATGGTCTGAGCACTCGGGGTGTTCATTGCTACTGAGTCACTGATTCAGTAAACAGAGATAGGAAGTATCTATCTCTTTAAGAAAAAAGAGTTCATGCAGATATTTCTAATGCCAGAGTCCAGAAACAGACCCACAATTACATGGTCAAATGAATTTCAACAAGGAATTCTTCAGAAAAAAATCCTTTTCAACAAAAGGGTAAGGAAAAGCTAAGTATCCAAACGGGGGGAAAAAGAGAGATCCTTGACCATTACCTTACACAATATACAAAACCTAATTTCAGATGAATGATAGATCTAAACATACAAGCTAAAATTATAAAGGCTCTAGGAGAAAATGTAAGAGAAGATTTTGCAGCTAGGGGATAGGCAAGATTTCTGAGGATCCCAAAATACTCGGTCTTTAAAAAATTGATAAATTAGATACAGACTGGCAAATTGGATAAAGAGTCAAGACCCATCAGTTTGCTGTATTCAGGAGATCCATCTCACATGCAGAGACACACATAGGCTCAAAATAAAGGGATGGAGGAAGATCTACCAAGCAAATGGAAAGCAAAAAAAAAGCAGTGGTTGCAATCCTAGTCTCTGATAAAACACACTTTAAACCATTAAAGATCAAAAGACACAAAGAAGGCCATTACATAAAGGTAAAGGGATTAATTCAACAGGAAGAGCTAACGATCCTAAATATATATGCACCCAGTACAAGAGCACCCAGATTCATAAAGCAAGTCCTTAGAGACTTACAAAGAGACTTAGACTCCCATAAAATAATAATGGGAGACTTGAACACCCCACTGTCAACATTAGACAGATCAACGAGACAGAAAGGTAACAAGGATATCCAGGAATTGAACTCAATTCTGCACCAAGCGGACCTAAGAGACATCTACAGAACTCTCCACCCCAAATCAACAGAATATACATTCTTCTCAGCACCACATCACACTTATTCCAAAATTGACCACATAGTTGGAAGTAAAGCACTTCTCAGTAAATGTAAAAGAACAGAAATTATAACAAACTATCTGTCAGACCACAGTACAATCAAACTAGAACTCAGGACTAAGAAAACTCAATCAAAACCACTCAACTACATGGAAACTGAACAATCTGCTCCTGAATGACTACTGGGTACATAACGAAATGAAGGCAGAAATAAAGATGTTCTTTGAAACCAATGAGAACAAAGATACAACATACCAGAATCTCTGGGACACATTTAAAGCAGTGTGTAGAGAGAAATTTATAGCACTGAATGCCCACAAGACAAAGCAGGAGAGATCTAAAATTGACACCCTAACATCACAATTAAAAGAACTAGAGAAGCAAGAGCAAACACATTCAAAAGCTAGCAGAAGGCAAGAAATAACTAAGATCAGAACAGAGCTGAAGGAGATACAGACACAAAAAACCCTCCAAAAAGTCAGTGAAACCAGGAGCTGGTTTTTTGAAAAGATCAACAAAATTGATAGACTGCTAGGAAGACTAATAAAGAAGAAGAAAGAGAAGAATCAAATCGACGCAATTAAAAATGATAAAGGGGATATCACCACCGACCCCACAGAAATACAAACTGCCATCAGAGAATACTATAAACACCTCTACGCAAATAAACTAGAAAACCTAGAAGAAATGGATAATTTCCTGGACATTTACACTCTCCCAAGATTAAACCAGGAAAAAGTTGAATCCCTGAATAAACCAATAATAGGCTCTGAAATTCAGGCAATAATTAATAGCCTACCAACCAAAAAAAGTCCAGGACCAGATGGATTCACAGCTGAATTCTACCAGAGGTACAAGGAGGAGCTGGTACCATTCCTTCTGAAACTATTCCAATCAATAGAAAAAGAGGGAATCCTCCCTAACTCATTTCATGAGGCCAACATCATCCTGACACCAAAGCCTGGCAGAGACACAACAAAAAAAGAGAATTTTAGAT